TTCAGAAGAAGTGTGAATCAACCAGAGCAGTATCATAGAATCATAGAATGGTTTGGGTTGAAAGGGCCTTATGGCATGCTTAACCATCCAAGTATATTTGCACAATAGTGGGAAGAGTGGCGGGGTGTTTATCAGCCTAGTTGAAGACATTTCCATCCCTGCTGCTTGTTGTAACACAGAGGTATACCACTGTAAGTATCTGTAGGGCAGTACTGTAAGACAGATCGATGAAATTATGTGGGGTTTAAAATCCTCCAAACAACTTTTTTGTGTGTTTTAGTGGCTTATTGCAGTGATCTAGTTCATTCTTTAGCTCTGTACTCATCTGATCCAGTGATAAGACAATGTTATTCATTAAGCTGGCAAAAAATTACTCACTTGAGATTCAGAAAGATAAACCAGACAGATGAGAGAGCCTGAAAAGTGAGACAAATCCTCTTGTTGAAAGAATTACTCTTACGATGGCAGTGGTCTGAAAACAACAACAAAAATGGTTAGTTCCATATGGATAGTCTGTTCTGTAACAGTATGATTAAAGGATATTTCACATCTTTTTAACCTTTAGCTGGTATCTAGTGTTTCAGAGTATCAGGGGAAAAAAGCTTCCTGTGTTCTAAATATGTCAGTGTGAGTAAGTAGTAGCTATGAGAAATACCCTTTAGCTGCAAAATAAGCCAGTTTTATTAGCATGATACTGGTCTTAAATGTTCGGTTAGAAGAATGGTATAAAACTAATTCAAAAGAGTACTTGGTAGATAGCTGAAATTGGTGCACATCTGTTAGGCTCTGCAGCAATTACCTACAGCTACTGAAGTTTGTTCTTTTTCTGCACCAGGTATTTGGCATTGGAGTACCGAACCCCTATCGATTGCGCCCATTTATTGGGGCACGAGTTCCTGTAAATAGCAGTTTTTCTCCTATAATAAATATACATAACCCTCACAGTGAACCCTTGCAGGTGAGCCTAAGAGAAAATCATTAAATGTTCACTTCTGTTTATGATATTAAACTGAATTTTTGTTTATTTTGGTACTGCTTAAAATTCTGTTTGAACTTCAAAGCTATTTGAGGCCAACTCTTTCATGTTATATAAAAGTTTTTCTGTATAAATGCAAATCAGTTGTTCTAGAAATTGCATATTATGCTCCCAGGTCTCTTAATTTGCTAAATTGGGGAGTTACTATGAAATTTCTGTTTCTAAAATGGTCATAATTACTGCAAAATAAAGAAACTTCACTGGTAATTAAGAAAAATACTGAAGCAAAGTAAAATAGTATTAAAAAAAAAAAAGGAAAAGTAAAATCCTTTGCTTTTAATCCAGGCATGCCTCTGTGCTTCCTTCTGCTTGTTTTGCACAGCATAAGGTGTCTTTACAGACTACCTTAGTATATAATGCTGGCAAGCATTCTTATATTAAAGGCAGGATTAATGTCTGTACCTGACCAAACAAGTAAATGGATAGTCCTGTGGTAAACATGATCATCTAATAAGATACTCCAGTGGTCAAATAGTTGCTGACTTGTGCTATTGCACATTATAATACCTGATAACTGAAACAGGACCCCTTTGAAGTTGAGTGCTAACATTTTCCTGTTATCCACCTCAGGTTGTAGAAATGTATTCCAGTGGAGGTGATCTCCATTTAGAGCTTCCAACAGGCCAGCAAGGAGGTACAAGGAAGCTATGGGTGAGTAAGCATATCTTGCAGCATTCATTGTACTTGTTTGGGGAGGTTTTGTTTTGACATGATTTTAGGTTTTGGGTTTGTTTGGTTGGGTTTTTTTGTCTTGTTATCATTAAAAGTACTCCATAAAAATTGAAATTATAGCAGGGTCTGTTAATTGTCTGTACTAGGAATTGAAGGACAGTTTTAATTAAAAGAAGCCATCTGTATTGAGCTGTGCTTTTTTGAAATGAGAAGAATAAGATGATTCCTGGTAGAATGAATCGCACCTAGCTGAGCATTCAGGACAATGTAAGCCTTCTGGTGGCCTGTGAGCTGGATCTAACCCACAGGAAAAATACACTGAATTTTTTTCAATTTTTTTTTTTTTTAAACTGAGAAAGTCCTTCCAGCAAATCACTATCAGTGTAAACACGGGTTGAAAAAGCAGCTGAATGAACTTACGGAAGAAGAATTTGTTGAGGACTGTTAAATAAAACGGCAGTGTATCCAGCCATAATAAATCCATAGATAATGAATCAAGAGTAGCCAGAAACTGTTGTGGAAAATATTTCCGCATGCATGCCCTGCAGTTACTCTTTACTCTCATGTCTGCTGCTGAAGACAGGGTAGTGGGTTGGATGGACTCAGTCTGTCCCATTAAGACTGTTTCATTGTGTTCTTCACTGAATGTAGTTCTGAAATAAGACATACCAATACCTTTAAGTGACATAAATTATAGAAGCACCTTGAAGGTAAAGTATTGGCTCCGTGCTGTATATCACACTCTTGGGAATTTCCAACTAGATACAAAACTTGTTTTCCTCAATAATTAGAATTATTCCTCTTTTTGATGACTTTTTTTTTTTTCCTGTTTAAAGTTATTGGGCTCCAAAACTTGTCTCTTGCTCAAGTGTATCATTACAGTCACTGACAGTTACATCTGTTGTAATAAGTAAAGCCAGGATATTTCCAAGTGACCAAAGAAAGACAATCTCAAAACTTAATTCCTGGCTTTTCTGGAGAAAGTCCTGAGAATAGCAGTATCTTAGTTTTAAATACAAAAGTTGCAAACAAGTGAGTGTGAATACAGAGCATGAGCATTTAAAAAATGCAGTTGAAAGAGTAAAGAGATGCTGCGGTTTAGATGGAAACATTAAAATGGATTTTTAAAAATGAAAGTCCTGGTGCTTTCACACCATTTTAGTCAAATGGCATTGCTTCTAAAGAGAACCCCTTCCTTGTTGTCAAAAGAACGCAAGAGGAATATTGAATTCTGTAGCCATTAGTAGGCTACACTAGTAGGAGGAAACATCCAGATACGTTATTTTATTGGCTATATCGAGAGCTGCACTGGAGTTAGAAAAAGCTGCTAAGTAGAAGAAATTATTTGAAATATGGTGATGATATGTTGTTTAAAAATGTTTTGATGCCAAATATTTGGATGATTGGATTAAGCAGCCTGTGTATGTAGGAGTATTTTTGTAATCACTTTTCAAAGTTACTTCAGGGATCTGACATACCCTTGGATCCCTGGTAACACATATGGAAGAGACAAACCACAACCTTTGAAACTTTAATGAACAGCTGCATTATGTTGGGTCTGTGAATGAGTGTGAAAACAGAATTTGAAAGCTTCTTAGTTTAGGGGCTTGCCAAGTAGTAGCAGTTGAAGCTAGTTAGCTTGATGTTCAACAGTTTTCAAAGAATATGTCTATAGTCATTGTGCTATGGAAAATATAGCTTGACCTCCAGAACGGATTGGTATAAGTTTGTACTATAGAAGGCACAGAAGAGGTATATAATATGATGAAGCACCTATACGGATTATACCCTGTCTAGTTTCCTTCAGCAAAAGCGCAAAAGAAAGAAGCTGTCAAATGAAATAACAATTTCAGTTGACAGCTTCAATTGATACAAGTACCACTCATTCCTACTATTTATTTGGATTTAAAATGGAAGAAGCCCCAAATTTCAAATTGAGGTTTTCATCTTCAATTAAAAAAAAAAAAAAAAAAAAAATCTAGTTCCCCAGCCCTTCTGTAATGTGATAGGGAAGAATATGCAATGTTAGCATTTCAGCTATGGTTCTGAAGCTAGTCTTGTGCTGCAGCTATGTCCAGCAAATACAGAAAGAGTTGTCTTTCAAACCTTGAATGCAGATTGCAACTGATGGAATAGGCTTGGTGGCTAATAAACCTGCACCTCCACAAGCTTCTGGCTACTTTGCACTGTATCAGCTTGTGTTTAGCACTGAAACCGCATGCCTTGTGTCTGCTTTGGAGAAAAAAGAGTTAGACTATGCAAACCCAATATTTGATGTTACTGCAGTCAGTGAAATTTTTATGAATAGATTTTGTTTAGTGGTAAATTCTGTCAATTTAGTCTACTGTCTTTTTACCACAATTTTAATACATAAAATATAATCAAAGGGGATGTGAAAATCTTCTTGCATATGCCAATTTTTAATCAGCCTCATCTTAGGTGATTACAACTGTCCTTGTAAATTTAATGGTAATTTTAATAATATGTAGCTAATGTCTTACTGCTATTGCAGGTTTTGCTGTTAATACAATTATGCTGGATGCTTCTATTGTAATTTTTTTGTGTGTGGCAGCTTTTCTGTAGTTACTGTTCTCTCATAGATGTGCTTTGATTATTTATCAGGAAATACCTCCGTATGAAACAAAAGGAGTGATGAGAGCCAGCTTTTCTTCAAGAGAAGCAGATAATCATACAGCCTTCATTAGAATAAAAACAAATGCCTCAGACAGCACAGAATTTATCATTCTCCCTGTTGAAGTAGAAGTTACAACAGGTTTGTAGAAAAGTGGTTGAGTTTTTGTTGTTTGGGTTTTTTGTTTAGCTGTTTTGTTGGGTTTTGAGTGGTTTTGGTTATTCAGCTTAATTAACTTTCAGTATAACAAGAAAATGGTAACTTTTCTTTTAATATTTTTTCCCCCTTTCTTAAAGCACCAGGAATCTATTCATCAACAGAAATGCTAGATTTTGGTACGCTACGAACACAAGGTAAACTATGCTTCAGGTCTCAAAGTATTTGTAAGGACTAGGGTGGGGAGGAGAAAGCCCTGTTACCTTTGTGCTGTTCAGGGTTGCCTCTGGCAAAGCCTGCAAACTTTTAAATGCTTTTTAAAAGCCAGAGTTTCAAAAGCAGGATAACAGTGTTAGAATAGTGCACAAATGTATTTACCTGTAAGTGTACTTGAGATGTGTACAAACAAGCGGTAGCTTGCACATCCAGTTATGAGTCTAGTAATAACATTAGTCTCATACAGTTGCACATGGTTTAGTCTGAAAACCATTGTCAGTTTACTTAATTTGTAAACTTCTTTGAATGATTGCTTTGCCTCTGCTTAAGTTTAAATAATTTTCAGACATGGGAATAGTGGAAGTGTGCAAACTTAATTTATTATTATTATTATTATTATTATTATTATTATTTCAATTTCTTATTATTCTTCTAATAATTTCTTATGCTAAGTTCTGGTTCCTTGAAGCGCCACTTACACATTTGTGACTAGCATTTTACATTTTAAATTATTTAATAAAACTAAATATATATATGTGGCAGAAAGTAGTAAAACTGAAGATATCTTTTGAATCTGTAAAAGGGACACCTTACCAAAGAAAAACACTGTATCTTCTTTCCGCTAAAGAAAAGGTAGCTTCTGAAGTACTTTTCCTTGCAATTTAACATGTAAAGATTTTTAAGTAAGATTAGGTTCTGCTGAATATTAGTGCATCTGGCAAAATCAATCAGTGTAGTATTTTTTAGCCAGCTCATTTCTTAATGTGTTAGAAATATAAATGGTTAGCTGAAGCATATAATACCTACCAATACACCAAAATGCAGTTTTGTCATTCTTGAGACTAGCTATTTTGGCTGTACTGTCATGTTAGTCTAACTTTTTAAAACTGAACAACAGTGGATTTATGAGAAACCAGCCAATGCAGTTGACTTTGTAGGGAGGTTTTATGTTAAAATACCCTAATAGCCAGGTATGTTTTTTGTTCTTTAACAGATCTGCCAAAAATTTTAAATCTGCATTTATTAAATTCAGGAACAAAAGATGTGCCAATTACAGTAAGTTTTATTTCCTTTCCATTTGAAATTTTCTGCTTGAGTTTACTTTCTCTTGTAAAAATTGATCATTCACAGGTTCACCATGTAAAGTTCAGAATTAAAAGCTACATCCTGTGTGACTGAAAATGTAACTTGGTAGTAAGACAAATAATTTATATGCATGGTAAAATACTTTTGCTCCATATCTTTCTTTGAATGGCTGTTTCGGCATTTATGGGCTGTGCCTTCAATATCTGAGGCTCCAGAAGCTTTTATACTTGAGAACAGTAACTCCTGTTCAGTGAGTGAGAGATTAATGCAGAGTCTGTGGGATTCTTTGTCCTCCTCACACACTCCATGAGAGTGTATAAAGTGGTTGCCCAACATTGTCTTTTAAGATGAGCAAGGAGTAGCTTTCAGGAGCAGACTGTAAATTGACCTTTGTTTTCTTGAGGTTATCTGCTTTGTAGCTTGAAATAAGAAAGAGGACTGCAAACCCTCTAGACCCCTTTCCAATGAGATCACTGCAGCTGCGCATATAGTGCAGCCAGCTTCAGAATTCTAGGTTTTGGATTTTCTGCTTTCTATTTCTATTACAGAATTTTGGCTCTAGTCTGGTAGTCTGCCTTTCTTCATTCGTACCTTTTTCCTGTGTAATTTTTCTCATTGCCCACTATTTTTCTCACTTCTTCCTTCTCCCCTTCCTGCCTTCCTTGTTTTCCAGATTTAGTTGTATAGCTAGCTATACCTTGTCCCAGTGCACTTCAGAAAGCGTTGAAATGTCAAAAAGAAACCAGGAAAGCCAGAATAGCTGAAGGATTGGCAAAAGTTTCTTCCTGAGCTCTTGGAGAGCATTTCTGTGTTTCTAAAGCTTATAGCTGTAACTGTAGGGAAGAGTATTTTAGTAGTAGACTTCTAATAAAAACTTACAATAAGATAGTGGAAACTGAGGCTAGATGAATTTAAACTAGAAGCAGGACACACTTTTAGTAATGAGGATAACTTTCCACTGTGGTAATAATGCATTGCAACGCTTGCTAAGTTGTTCTTCACTAATAATTTTCACTTTGAGAGAAACTTGCAGTGTAGTGCAAAAGGAAATTAATTCGTCAAAGTTCTGATGTATATGGCATTAGTGAGGTCAGATGATTCTATGAGGTCTTTTGTGGCCTTTCATGAAGGGTTTTTAATTGGGGGGGGGTGTGTGTGGAAAAGCCCTGTATATGATTTTTACAGTTAGAGGGTTGGTAAATTTACTGAATTTGCATCTATGTCTGCTGTCCTTTATCATGTCCATCTTCCTAGGTTTGCTGGGGTTTTACATAGGAATGGGGTTTTGTGGGTTTAGTTTTGTTGGGGTTTTTTGTGGTGGTGTTTGTATTTCAATTGCCCTCCCCCAAAATGTGTAGTATGCTTCCTGAGTGCAAATAACTGTATATTCAAACCATCGGTATCACTTGTAACATAACGTAGTACATAATTCATACTCCATTAAAAAACCCAACTACCCAATTTTTTTTTTTTTAAGCTACGGTCTTTGGACTGTAGACTGTAAATCATAGACTGTAATCTGATGGAAGACTATCATTTGATAACCATTATAAATGCCATGACGGAACTTTTCCAGGTGAACTATTCTTTTGCAGTGTATCAAAGCAGTAAATTTGGTGCAGATTAGGTCCAGATACGATGTATTTTAGTGTGCTACATATGGCACATCAAGTCAATTGTCTTTCTCATTAAGGTACAGCTTTGTTGTGAAGTTTGTAACTTTTCTAGCATTTGAAGCAGTGTGATAGTATGAATTTCTGCTGCTGTGCCAAACAAGGAATTTGAAAGTGCTAAGCAAGGATGAAGAATTTTTAGAAGGAGCCTGGTCAGTAGCTTATTTCTAGGAAAGCTTGAAAATGGATTTCTGACTCTTTAGAGCTACGGTTTAAAAGCAGTGGGACAGCTCTGTGACAAATTTCATCTTAATGTCAGAAGAAAAGGCCAAGGCTATATTTAGCATATATTTAAGCTGGGTGCTGGAGGAACTAAATATCTTCAGGTCATCTGTATATGGGAGGCTGCTAATACTGTTGCCAGAGTTGTAGTTGTTCTGCCTTTAAATACTTAGTCATGCTGTGGTCCAGCAGGTTGGCTGAGGAAAATAAGAGCAAGTCACTTCCTTTTTTGAAGTTCTAAAACTCTTTATAAAAAAACTTCCTTAATTGCATTTTGTAGGGTTTGTCCATTATTAGGGAGAATCATGTTTATTCGTGACTGGATGAACTGCTGCAGCGTGGATGAACGTGCTGCAGCAATTAGGACATGTTGTCAAAACTCTAGTAGATACAGATTGTTGAGCACCTTCTCTAGTATAAAAATTTGTGTTTCCTTAAGGCACTTTAAGCCCATTTGATTGTTAAAACCAAAGGCACACTTCAAAATTTGACCTCCTGAATCATGTTTGATGCATAAAGACCCAAGAACTTCAGGACAACCATATATTGAAGCTGAGTTCTGTCAGTTTGAAAATAAGTGTTTGTATAAGAAAGTATTTATGTAATTCTGTCACAATTCACATACTTCAGAGTAGATTTTTTTATTTCTTTCTATCAACCTGCAAGAAGTAGTTTACTTCTGCATTGTGTTTTCAGTCTGCATGTATCTCAAAGTTATCAAGTGAAAGTTGCCCTAAAGGATTAAAATCTAGTAGTAGTGGCTGTTCTGAATGGTGCTTTATGGTGAAAGTGAGCTTTAGTTAGTTAGGTGTTTCCCTGTTTAAACTGAAGGCTAAGTTATTACTGACAAAATAATTGTGTCTGTAAGAGCGAATAAAACCATACAGAGGTGGTTCTGACACAAATGGAATCAGCCTTGCTCTGCTGCCTGTAGCCACAGGGCTTTTTCTTCTTGCAGCAGGGTAGCTGTGTCTTTCCTATCTGTAAAGCAGAAGTCTACAGCCTGCTCAGTCTTTAGAGCAACATGCTAGGTGGACAAGACAAAACTACTTTCAGGAGCCTGCTGACAGGTAAACAGTGTGGATGAACATGTGCCAGTGTTTCAACCCGTACTCTTCTTTAGTTTATTAGAATAGATGTAGTCTGAGAGTCCTTAAACCTTCAAAGTCTTTCCCAGTAACTGCTGCAATAGCATAAAGCTTTCTTCCCGTTCTGTAAGAACATTTAAGGTCACGATTTTACGGTTTTATGCTAAATATTGACTGTATCTTCATACAGCAGGGTCAGGAATCTTGACTGGGATGCACTCCATGGGAGAGTCAAATGTCACTGAAGTGTGTCTGTTTTAAATTCTTCCCCACAGAAGTTGCTGTTAGGAGATTTTCTGAGAAAATTGGTGGTATCAGACTTTTGATGGAACTTGTTTTGCATGTATTCTCAGGGCCAGTCTGTATCTGATAATTCTTGAGGCGCATCTCAGGACAGATTTTGCTTCGGCTTTATTTGATGTAGGTTAAAATTTGAGGAAAGTTAAATTGAAAGGATTTTTAGGGATGTTTGTTTTCCCTTTAGTTGTCTTAATTATGTTTTTCCTTTTATAGCACGTTATTAAGCAACAAGTGGGAAACATGTAAAACAGTGAAGAAATTTTCAACAATACAGTGTAAATTCATTCCTTAACTAAATTCATTGGCTGTAGACATTTTGGGTAAATACATCTAGGATGTTACGCTTGTGGTTTAAGAGATGTGCCTCTGAAACCTGCCAGTTTTCTGGCAACAGGCTGTCCTTGTGAGTATTTTCAATTCAATTTACTAAATGAAATCAGCATAATTTCAAACTTCAATAATTAAAAAGCAGTCTCTTGCATGAAAAGAGCAAGAAGTGGTTATGCTTTCTGCCATGCAAAAGTTGAGAACTTGATTGCAGCTTTGGTTTTGTCTGCTTTAAAAGTTTTTGTTTGTAAAGATACCTTAAGATCTCAGGTACGTAGCATAGGTTTTCATTAGAAGAGAATTGTGGTAATTATGAACTGTCTCATTAAGAGAAATAGCAAATATTTGCACTATGTGTATGCAGATGGCTGACAAAGGTCAGTACTATAAATCCAAAATGCAGAACTTCTAGTTGAGCTGACAGAGATTATTCATTAGCTGCAGGAGCAGTGCTGCCAGTTTCCTCCAAGGATCATGTGGTCTGCAGAATTTAATTATACATGCATGATTTTATGGCTCTAATTTACAATCAGGGACAACTTAGCTTGAAAGAACTGTTACTGGTTTATATCACTAGCTTTCCCCTTTCTCCTCTCTGACCAAGAAAGGCTCAGCTGCTTGTGCAGCAAGTGCTAAACCTCTGCAGCCCAGCATAAGGTAAACCAGCACTCATTTCAGTTTCCTTAATACAGCATCCTGTAATTTGCAGCAGCTTAACAGCTGCTACATGAGCAACTGAGCTGTTCTTACAGCAGGAGAAGACAGCTGGGGAGGAGAAATCATGGCAGCCGTCCTAATTTTAAGCAAAACAAGAACAAGTGCATTTAAATGCTCTATGCCCAGCTTCTCTCCATGGGATCTAGATAAAGATTTTTGCTAGCACTCTATAGAGTCTTCAGATGTTGACATGAAATCCGTAATCATGCTGCATAGTAATAAGTATCTCTACAAATCAGCTCTGGCTAATAACTGACACAATTGCTATTCTAGTAATGGCCAATTTACCTTTTCCATTTAGTTTAAAACAGAAATCCTCAGATACAAAAGGTGATCTTGTAATATGTTGGTATAGAACGTGTGTCATCTCAGATTTGCAAACCCATTCTCTGTGTGGTTTACTGGGGGTTTGGGATTTGTTTTGGTTGGTTTGTGGTTTTTTTTGGCATGGCAGCTTTGCAGATAGCATGGGATCAGAGACAAGGTAGATGTCTGTATCAGCACTAGTAATTACACAAGTTAACAGCTTTGTTAATGCGTGCACCAAAAGCAAATAGTCTAGCTAGTGTGACCCTGAAGCATTAAGAATAAAAAATAAATATTAATTTAAATAAATCTTGTTTTCTGTTTTATTACCTTGTTTCTGGCTATTATCTCATTTCATCCAGCATTCCCAATCAGAACTCTCTGTTGTCCACTTTACTGCATATAGACTGTGTAATTTGCAGAACTTGAAAGAAGTTTAAAAGCCTCTTGTAATGTTGCTTTATTATGGGAAAGACAGGCCTGTAGGAGCCAAAACTAGTTGCAGTCGTATCACTTTGAAGGATATGTGAAGGCTCTATAATGTGTTAACGATGATAAATTTACAGGTGCTTCATATTTTGATTGTTTGCAGAGTGTTAGACCTACACCTCAGAACGAAGCTATTACAGTACATTTCAAGCCAGTTACGTTAAAAGCTTCTGAAAGTAAATATACCAAAGTTGCAAGTATTAGCTTTGATGGTAAGTACTACTTCTCTCTTGGAACTTTTCAAGTGATTCTTACAACTTGCTGAAATGTCATGAATTATTTTCACTCTTTTAACAAAATGTAATTTATAATTTTGAGAAAGAAATGGAATTTTCCTACCTAGAAAAGGCTTACAGTTCTTCTACCTTCAGTTATTTCTGAAGGGATTGTCTGATTATAATCAGCAGGTGACTTAGACTGGTAAATACTGGTGAGAAGAGAATGAATTCTTAATTCTTCTATTAAAAAAACTAATATTAAAAATAAAAAGCATTTTTATGATAAGACACTGATTATTTAAAGTGTGTTGTTAGTCTTAATAGACATTTAATTTTGAGAAAACCAGAATGTGTTCCTCACAGTAATGCATTTTAGAGGAGATTGCCCTTTGATCCTTCCAAAGGTTAAAAAAGAATCCGAAGTCTTACTTCTAAATTTTATGTTGGAATGCCCATGGAAACAAAGCTCTGTCATGTTCTTGAGAACCCTACTGTGAAGGGAGGTGAAGGTGGAAAAACTTTTTACTGGTACCTTTCCTACAAATACAGGTTATGCATGTTGATACTGACTTTCGCTTATATTTATATGAAAAAAGTGTTGGATCATTTTCCTCCAATATGGTATGACTGTAAACACTATGCTGACAATTTGTAGAAAGGGACTTCCATTTTTATACGTATTTTAATCAGCTGTCAGAATGATGTTACTACTTTAGGATACTTGTTAGTGCCGTAAGTCTTTCTGCCTGGATTGCTCAAAAATGGAAGTTTATGGATGCAATGTTTTTCATTTCAGACATAATTTTAGAAGTTGTATGGCTGCAGAGGAGAGGATTGACTTTTATTATTGTTATTTATTGATTAGCACTTCAGATATTTAATAGCTTACAGTTTGTAAGATGAGTTAAGTATGTTTTAGCGTATAAGTAATTCTAAAATAGCTGAACTCTAGCTGTCAGCCGAAGGTGGTAATATGTTCAGATTTTGAAGCTGGAGGAAGTTGTTACATGAGGACCTACTGACTAACATACACATA